AATACACAAAAAAATTAACCTTCAAAAAATAACATTCAATGTATTAAAAATGAACTTTTTGTATACTAAAAATGAACTTTACGTTAGTGGTTTACCTTACAAGGTGACTAATAATAGTCCATGGTATAAACTATAATGATTGTATTATGAAGGAAATTATAACACTTATGAGAAAAAAAATATGATACTTTTGATAAAAAAAAAAAATGTAATACATTTAAATCAAAATGTAATATTAGGGATGAGTTAATTCCCAAAAGAGTTAATTCCACCGGAGGTCCCTTGTCTTTGGTGGCAATTCCAAATTTAGTCCTAGACTATCGTTTTTGGACACTTCTAGTCCTTCTCATGATTTTTTCTATTTTTAGTAAGGACATTTTTGTCTTTTCATATTTTTCTTTTGTTATTTTTCCGGTTTCAACCAGCTTAATTGGTTTATAATTTTAGGTAACCTCTGATTTTTAGTAACCATATTTTTCAACCAAGTTTTAGTAAAGTCCTAAACCAATTAAACTGGTTGAAACTGAAAAAATAACAAAAGAAAAATACGAAGAGACAAAAATGCACTTACTAAAAATAGAAAAAATCATGAGAAGGACTAAAAGTGTCCAAAAACGATTGTCTGGGATGTAAAATGGCAAAAACGATAGTCTAGGACTAAATTTGGAATTGCCACCAAAGACAAGGGACCTCCGGTGAAATTAACTCATTCCCAAAATGGTCCTCCGACTATGGTCTTTTTCTCAAAATAGTTCATTGACTTTTAATTGCACCCAAAGTGATCATCCGACTATTGAATTTTAAGCTAAAATGATCCTTCCTTAGTTTTAGTGTTAAGTGGGTATTAAAATGAGGGGTAAAAATGATAATTTAGGATTTTTACTATAGTCAAAAGACTATTTTGGGTGTAATTAAAAGTCAAAGGACCAATTTGAACTATCTAGTTAATATTTTAAAAGAAATTTTCATTTTATGAACTATCTAGTTTTTGAACTATCTAGTTAATATAATCTAAAAGTTTCAATTGTGTATTATCGTATTTAAATTAATAAAAAATAATTAGAGTTGATCTAATTAAATTAAAAAGTATTTATGAATATATATAATATTAATAGCGATGATATACAATTTATTATAACCATTTCATATTTTATTATAAATATTCTTTTATCACGTTTTGAAGTTTTTTTTTTTTCGCCTCCACTGACCAACATTTTTTGTTCTGCCCCTATAAACTAATATTGTATTTGTGTAATAGACAATGATTTTTTTTTTATTATCTTTTTTATCCGTTTGTATTTAATTGTTGTCTTTTTTTTTTTTTTTTTTTTTAAGCACTGGTTTATGGCTGTTGCCCATGTGATTGTAATTTTTCATAATAGTTTTGTCATTATATGTATGCCTATTTATGATCATAGAAAATCAAAATCCAAATACATAATGTCAATCATTCCTGAATAATAAAGAGTTAATCCAAAGTTAATGTTAGTTTGTACAACTATATATAAGTACTAGGCTAATAATCAAAATTATTATTCTAAGTTATTTTTTTTAAAAGATAATTTTCTAGCTAACAATTAAAGTAAAAAGATTGTTTATTTATAAAATAAAAATAAGTACAAGATCAACCACTTTTAATCAAAATGAGTACAAATCATGTTTGAACTATAAAGAGAAAATTTCTAAAATGATCCCCGATTATGACATTTTTTCAAATTGGTCCTTTAATTTTTAATTGCACCCAAAGTAGTTCTTTGACTGTAGTGAAAACCCTAAATTACTAGTTTTATCTCTCATTTTAACACCCACTTAACACCAAAACTAACGGATGACCATTTTGACTTAAAATTCAATAGTCGAAGGACCACTTTGGGTGCAATTAAAAGTCAAAGAACCAATTTGAGAAAAGGACATAGTCAGAGGACATTTTGAAAATTAATTCTATTAGGAATTGAAGAGTTATGTAGAAAAATGTAATACTTAGGAGAGGAAATGTAATAATTGCGAGGAGCCCAATATGCTCATGGATGTGGTCTTATAGAAGATTTTGCCACTGATCAATTATCATTTAAATAAATTATTTTATTTTATTTGTATAAAAAATGAATATAAAAGAATATCTCATTGAAATATTTTAAATAACACACATATTAATATATTTTTCAATATATTATTTAAATAATTTGTGATGAACATTTAGTAGTAATATAATTTTATAAACATATAGTTATGATTTTATGAAGGTTAAAGTACCTACGAGGTCCCTGCACTATAATATTTTGTTTAATTTAGTCCTTATACTTTAATTTCGTTCAATTTAGTCCATGTACTTTTAAAAGTGGTGTAATTGAGGACAATAGTTAACGGTGTTAATACTATCGTTAACTTAGGTTACGTGGTGGTGACGATATTTATATTCCTACTCATATATTACTTTATAAGTACTTAAAATTAATTATTTTTACCACCAATATATTAAATTAATATGTCCAAAATAAATAATTACAACCATGTTCCTAATGAGATTTGGACAATTATCCTTAGTTTCACCACATTTTAAAGTAGAGGGACTAAATTGAACAGAATAAAGGTACAAGAACTAAAGTGAGCAAAACGCAATAGTACATGTACTTATAGGTATTTTGACCTTTTATGAATGTGCTGTAATAATTATTTAATGGTCATATAGTAGGAACTTTTAGAAATTGGTGGGAAATTTGTCTTTGACCTTTTGATATAATAAATATAAATATAAATATAAATGCATGCATTAACTGTCGAAATACCATATTTAAAAATTAAAATAATGGAAAATGGAAAGAAGTAGAAATACCGTAGTTAACAAATTAATAACTGCGTGGAAATTCTGAAGTTTGAAGAAAAGCAAAACTTCCATTGCCGGGAATCAAACCCGGATCTTTTGGGTGAGAGTTGAATATCCTAACCAACTAGACTACAACATACTAATATTTATAATCAAAACTTGAATTACTAGTTCATAAAACTGGTGTCAATAGATCCATTAACACAAATAAATCATTATCTAATTATATTTATAGAATTAAAATCAATATTTAGAAAATATCTTACATTTTAAATAACACCTATGTTGATATATTTTCCAATAATAATTTGTGATGAACTTTCAGTAATAATTTTATGAGCTTGTAGTGATTTCATGAACATATAGTAAAGACTTTATGAACCTCTCATAGTTATTTAATGAATTTATAATAGTGATCTTTTGAACCTCCAATAGTAACTTTATGAACTTGCAACATTGACTTTGGACAATGTAGTTGTAATTAGGGGTGTGCAGTTCAATTTGATTTTTCTAAACCGAACTAGTTCAGTTCGTAATATACTCAACAATCAAACAGTAATGGATCCTTGTATATCGAACCGAACCGAAGTACCATATAGTTTTTTCATTTTTTTAACAAAATAATAATAATAATAATAATAACAACAACAACAATAACAACAACAACAACAACAACAACAACAACAACAACAACAATAATAATAATAATAATAATAATAATAATAATAATAATAATAATAATAATAATAATAATAATAATAATAATAATAATAATAATAATAATAATAATAATAACAATAAAGTAAATCCAAGTCCCTTGCTACCTACTTCGACGTTCAGCTCCTATTTTCACTAGTATTTCTCTTGAATTTGATTTATTTATGATTTGTTCTCTACTTTACACTTTTGTTGTTGTCGCAATTGTTCTTTGCCTCACAATTATCTCTAATTTGAGTTATTTTTACAATATTAAGTATTTTCATTAATTTCATGTTTATATGAAAGTAATGTGCTTAAACATCATATCATTCTAATTTTGATTTCCAGTGCACTGAAAATCTATTTTGCCAAGCAATGACGGATTGTGTCAAAAAATTAACTACACAGTATTTGGCACTTGTTCTCCAAATATTAACTATATAGATGGATGATTCTTCATCTTGTCAACAAAACATTCAAAATGAGCCAACATAAGTGTCGGTTGGACAAAAAAGCCAACTGATGTTTGATACTTAATACTTAGTAGTATGTTTGAAGAGTTTTTTCCCAAAATGGTCCCTTGACTATCGCTCATTCTCAATTATGCATTCCGATTATTAATTGCACCCAATGTAGTCCCTTGACTTTAAAAAATTATTCCAATTTGGTACTCTGTTACATTTTCCATCAACCAGACTTTAAGTTGAGGGTTATTTTGGTCCATTCATTCATCTGGTGCTGCTAATTCCTCCGTCCATCACTCCATTGTATTACACGTACTGCATTTGAGTTTCAAGAAACAACCACTGTAAGCTCCGTTTACGCCGGTAAGCCAACTCAATGCCGGAGAGCTAGCTGCCACTGCTCCCTTCTCTACCACCGCCATACCAAGTCGGAGAGAGAGGTCCACCCGTTGCTTCGCCGGAGTGCTCTGTTAATGCCGGAAAGGGAATAGCAACTCGCCGGAAAGCAGGGGAGGCCGCAAAGCTGTCATGCTGCAATAATCTGCTGCCTTGCTTCACCGTGGTTGCTGTCGATCTGCCGGAACTGCTACTCGCCGAGAGAACTGATGCTGACCGAGAGAAAGGGATAAAGAACATGCTGCTTTTGATTCCTGATTTGAACTGCGTTGATGTTCTAAACTTGATATGTAGATTAAACAAAGGGATTGCTTTTAAGTGGAGATTATGTTATTCTCATCTATAGATGAAATATTCTTTTCTTTAAGTAGAGAAATAGTGGCATGCTGAGTAAAATTGATTGTTTGGTATGCTATTTTAGGCTCAAAATTAAAGAATTTATGGGTGTAGTTAAAAAGTGCCCTTTTCATGTTCTGGTTGTGCAATGTGCATTCAATAGAAGCTTTAAATTCTTTAATTTTTAGAAACTATTTTATTTTTGCACGTTATTTAGCTTTTTGAATCTTCAATAACAATCTATGCATCGATGATCTGCATGTAGAGGAGAATAACAGCTGCTTGTGTATTTATTACAGGTAAGTGTTCTTTCAAGCTGGAGATTATTTGCATACTTTGTTAGTATTGGTTGCTAGTATTGTGTCAGATGGCCCTCTAAATCATTGGGGTAAAAGCGATTGTGATTATATACTTGGCATCTATATAGATTGCCACAATTGCTTTGAGGTTTGTTGGATTTTAATGGTTGTTACCTCTGAAGAACCAACTGGAGAAAGCCTGACTTATACATCCCCTTTACTCATAGAGCGAACAGAAAATTGTCAAAGCAATGAACACGTTATTAATATAGAACAAGGTGGTGATCCTTCATCTTCAGACTCGTCTGATTCTGAATCTCCTCGTGGCTTGAGTTCATCTCGGCACGATGATAGACCATCTGCGAGAAATTCACCATCTACTTCATCAAACGGATCAAATTCTCAAAGTCCTTCAGTTGCAAGGAGAGGTGAAGGATTTGGTCGTCATTGGAGCCCATTCAATACCGTGCTCTGGATTTCCATTGAGCTAGTATTCACTTTAGGGCAAATTACTGCAGTTGTCGTTGTTTTATCTGTATCAGGACAAGAAAACCCGCAAACTCCATTATTTGCTTGGGTTTCGGGTTATGCACTTCGATGTGCTGCAAGTCTTCATCTCCTATATTGGCGCTATCTTCATGGCAATCAGGCCGCTGAGAGGAGGTCAGCTCAATTTCGACAAGGTTCACGTCGAGTTAATTCCTCCTTCGATCCTAATTCTTACATAACCTTCTCCTTAACCCGGTGTTGGGATGATTTGTGTGGTTTGTGTTTATGTTTGTGAAATATTCCACTAATGAGGGTGGAACCTCCAGAAAAGAAATATAGAGGGGGAGCAGAGTATTAAGAATTCAGACAGAGAAGATTGCAAAATTCAGGGTGATCCCTTACTTTTATTAACGACAATATATATAGTGATTCTCATACAACTGATCCCTTAAAAGTCTACTATTTATTTGGCACTTCCTATACTAACTACAACGGAAATAACATGGCAAAGAATTAGTCTGCATGGCCTGAAAATTAGGAGACTTAGCTGCACACATAGTCACGAAGTTTTACAGGAATTGAGACTTGTCTCTTGGCCCTCTCGCCACCTGTAGCATGTTGCGTAACATTACCCGCCCCATCGAAAGAAGCCTTGTCCTCAAGGCTAAAGGTCGGGAAGGATGCATGGAAGATGTCCCAAAATTCCCAAGTGGCTTCTGCAGGCGACGTACGATCCCACTGAACGAGAACTTGTAGCCGCTTCTTTTTATCCTCCTTAACAACCCGTTGATCCAGTATGCGTAGCGGAACAGGAAACTGATCCGCAGATGGTGGGGGAAGCGCTGGTGTGACTATAGATGGATTTGGACAGAACTTTAACAATGAGATATGGAACACTAGATGGATACGTGAGGCTGCCGGTAATGATAATTTGTAAGCGACCTTCCCAATGCGTGCAATGATGGGAAAAGGACCATAATAACGCTTAGCAAGTTTGTGACTATGGCGTTGGGCTGCAGACCCCTGTCTGTAGGGTTGTAATTTGACATAAACCCAATCGTCAACATTAAACTCCTTGTCACGACGGTGCCGATTAGCTTGGACCTGCATTCTTTCCTGAGCTCGTTGTAGATTTGTCTTGAGCGTAGCCATAAGATCAGTACGGGCCAAAAGCGCATCGTCTAGCCGTTCAACAGCGGTGGCACCTTCGGAGTAGCCCACTAATGGAGGTGGTGGTCTGCCATACACAACTTGAAAAGGGGAGAATCCGGTCGAGGTGTGAACACTAGTATTGTACCAGAATTCAGCCCATGGGAGCGCTCGTGACCACTTGGTTGGGTAATCTCCAGAAAAGGCTCTGAGATACATCTCGAGGCTACGATTTACCACCTCCGATTGCCCATCCGTTTGCGGATGATATGCAGTGCTAGGCTTGAGTTTGGTCCCTTGTAAGCGAAAAAGTTCCTTCCAAAATGAACTCATGAATAGGGGATCCCGATCAGACACGATGGACCGAGGGAAACCATGGAGTCTCACATACTCCTGAACAAAATACTCAGCCAATTTTGGAGCAGTCAATCCGTCAGGAAGAGCACAAAAATGACTATATTTAGACAGTCGATCAACGATAACCCAGATCACCGTTTAACCATTTGATTGAGGTAAAGCCGTGATGAAATCCATTGTGATATGCTCCCACACCTGCGTAGGAATCGGCAAGGGTTGTAATAAGCCTTTGGGGGCAGAATTTTCTGGCTTAATTTGCTGACAAATGGAGCATTCGCGAATGTATAACTTAGTGTCCTTGCGCATTCCCGGCCAGTAGAAGGATGCAACCAATCGAGCATATGTTTTCTGTTCGCCTGAGTGTCCCCCAAGTTTTGAGCAATGGAATAGGTCCAACAATCGTCGCCGTAATTCCTTCCCCTCTGGAACATATATTTTCCCGTTGAAATATAGTACGTCATTTTTCCATGCAAAACCATTATCGGTCGGGTTGCCAAGTTTGATAGCAGCAATGAGACGGTTAGCTGTGGAGTCCTCAAATAATGAAGCCTTAATTTCGGAGAGTAAACTAGTTGTGGCGACTGAGAGGGCCAAATAACCCCCTTGAGCCTCACTAGTCCATCGAGATAAAGCATCTGGCCCCTTATTCTCCAAACCAGCTTTATGTTCGATAACAAAGTCAAAGCCCAAAAGTTTAGTTAGCCACCTCTGTTGTTCTGGAGTCTGTATGGTCTGAGAAAGCAGCTGCTTGAGGCTTTTATGATCTGTAATGATTGTGAATGGGCGGCCTAACAAATAGGGACGCCAACGCTGAACTGCGGTCGTAATGGCATACATTTCTCTACTATATGCTGAGGCATTTTTGTAGTGGGGTGGAAGTTTCTTGCTACAATAAGAGATCGGGTGTTTATTTTGGGATAAAATGGCTCCTATGGCAGAACCAGAAGCATCTGTTTCAACAGTAAAGGGTAATTGAAAATTAGGAAGATGAAGTACCGGAGTGGTTGTCATAGCTGCCTTCAAGTCAGCGAAAGACTGGTCTGCATCAACACTCCAAGTGAACCCATTCTTCTTGAGGAGCTCTGTTAAAGGGCCGGCTATCCTGGCGTACCCTTGAACAAACCGGTGATAATATCCAGTTAGGCCGAGGAAACCTCGCACCTCAGTCACCGTTTTGGGTTTAGGCCATTCTAATACTGCCTGTATCTTCGCCGGATCAACACTCACGCCATATGCTGAAACTAGGTGCCCCAAATACTCCAGTTTTTGTTGTGCAAAACTACATTTGGATAATTTTGCATATAGCTCATGTTGCAAGAGAAACTCCAAAACAGTTTGAAGGTGATGAACATGGTCAGATGTGGAGCGACTATAAACAAGGATATCGTCAATAAAAACCAATACAAACCGCCGTAGGCAAGGCTTGAAAACCGCATGCATGGTCGCTTGAAATGTAGATGGGGCATTAGAGAGCCCGAAAGGCATTACCAGAAACTCGTAGTGACCCTCATGTGTCCGGAACGCAGTCTTGTGAACATCTGGTGGATGGACCCGAATCTGGAAATACCCACTTCGCAAATCAAGTTTGGAAAATATGGTGGCGCCATGCAACTCATCAAGAAGCTCGTCGACTGTTGGAATAGGAAAACGGTCCTTGATGGTGATTGCATTTAGGGCCCTATAATCAACGCAAAATCTCCACGTTCCATCCTTTTTTCGTACTAAGAGCACTGGGGATGAAAACGGGCTAGTGGAGGGTCGAATAATTTGATTTTGAAGCATTTCCTGGACTTGGCGTTCGATCTCATTTTTTTGGAAATGAGGATACCGATACGGTTTAACATTCACGGGACTCGATTGTGGCAGGAGATTGATATGGTGGTTCAGATTCCTACTTGGAGGTAGGCCCTTTGGGGTGTCAAAAACTTTGGAATATTTGGTTAGCAAACTCTGGACGGCTGGTTGGACTTGTGCAGTTGGAGAAGGATGAGGTTGTAACATCAACAGGAAACATTCAGATACCGCATCAACTTGCTGCAGCCGCATTAGTTGATGGTGAGTCATAGGTTGGATGGATGCCGATTGGTTCCCTGTAAGAACAATTGGCTGACCTTTGTGTTCAAACTCCATTGTCAACTTTTTATGATCTGTCACGATTTTCCCTAGTCCTTCCAACCATTGTACTCCCAAAACAGCGTCTGCTCCAGAAAATTCTAAAATGTGGAAATCTGCTTCGAAGTGTGCTCCCTGCATATCAAAAGATATATTCTTGCACGTACCCTCACTCTGGATTTTCTCGCCATTTCCTACCGCAACCGTGAAACGAGTAGTTTGATCAATTGGGAGGTGAAGGAAGTTTGCGACCCGCGGTTGGAGGTAGTTGTGAGAACTACCGGTATCTATGAGTACTGTGAAAGGCTGGTTGTGGATGCTAGCAGGCAAACGGAAACAGCGGGGCCCTGTAGACCCAACCAAGGCATGGAACGATATCTCGGGTTCTGGCTCCACGATTAATTTAGTAGCAACAGTTGCTGACATCTCATTTACATCCTCTTTGTTTCCTACTTCGTCAGGTTCGCCCAATGGATCATCCGTCAAGAGGATTAAAAATTGTTTCGTGCGACACCGATGCCCAGGCCTATATCGCTCATCGCAATTGTAACATAACCCTTGGGCTCTTCGCTCTTGAGCTTCAGCCGCCGTAAGGCGCCTAATTGGCAATTGCGTTTTATGGTTCATGGGCGCAGGAAGTGGTAACAAGGGTGGTAGAGTGTTTGGCGGTGGGTTCGGTTGATTTCCCATGTTGACACCGGAAGGCCGCCAAGGTGCTGAGAATTTAGACTGCATCGGTCGAGTGTCCCGAAGCTTGTCATCGACTAGCTTAGCCAAAGCGATTGCATCTGATAAAGTGTTGGGTTTTAGAATAGCCATTTCAGCTTGTATGGCTGATTTCAGCCCAGAAACAAAACAGTCCAATATTGCGCCTGGGGGTAAGTCTTGGACCCGGTTGCTAACAGCTTCAAATTCGGTCTGGTATGCAGCGACCGTGGTTTTCTGGGTCAGCTTGAAGAGGGCTGCCCGGTGGTTCACGTATGAGGAGGGTCCGAATCGTTGCTCAAGTGCGATAGTGAATGCCCGCCAGGATGACAACTGTTGGTTTTTGTGCATCCATTGGAACCAAGACAAAGCTTGCCCCACCATGTAGAAGCTGGCAATGTCAATTTTCTGCTCTTCCATAGTCTCCCACAAACTGAAATATTTCTCAGCTTGGAAGATCCAATCCAACGGGTTGCTGCCGTCGAAAGTGGTCATGTCACACCGAATATGACGTGGTTGAGGCGTAGAGTGCAATGGGGAATTTGGATAGCTTGTAACGGCTTGCGATGAGGAGGTAGCGGCTGGGACGACGTTGAGGGAGGTGATTCGCACGGAAAGCTCTGTTATGGCATTGTTGAGGGCTTCGTTAAAAGCTTGATTCTGGGCTGCCAAAGCTTGTCTGAGTTCCTCTGTGGTTTTCCGCTGGGCTTCTCGCATTTGTTGTAGTTGTTCTTCGAGAGCCCGTTGACGGGTTTGTACGCCTTCATTTGCCATTTGGCTCTCAATAAGAGCACCAGATGTTGGGATGATTTGTGTGGTTTGTGTTTATGTTTGTGAAATATTCCACTAATGAGGGTGGAACCTCCAGAAAAGAAATATAGAGGGGGAGCAGAGTATTAAGAATTCAGACAGAGAAGATTGCAAAATTC